ACCACAAATAGATGAACTAGTACTTATTGTAAACAAAAGATTCAAAGGGGATACACCCTTTGAAAGATTAAAATGGCGATTAGGAAGAATAATAAAAGTACATCCAAGCCCCAGAGATGGTGTTATAAGGGCAGCGGATGTACTCACAGCAACCATATCTAACACCAATCAAGTGAAACCTATCATTTTACAAAATCAAACCATTCGCAATCTAGTACCCCTAGAAGTACAAGATCTTCCTGAAGAAAAGGAAAAATTTCAAACAGCTCTCATCAGTATAGTCCGACAAAAAATAATAATATAAATGCATCGAAATCGTTCTAAAAAATCAGTTTCTTTCGAAATCACACACAACGAATGTCTCATCGCTTACAAAATTAGAACACATTGTACTTCAATTCACGATGGGTGGGATGAAACCCTCATTTCTTTCGGTAAGGCATCCCATTTACGATAGAAAAGATCAATCTCATCACAACAAAATACCGTCGAATATGAACCCGCATTGACGAAACATATATATACATAAATCGCCAAACAAAAAAGGGGGGTGAACCAAATATCAAAAAAAAAAAAAAAAAAAAAAAAAATAAAAAAAAAAAGGGGGGTGAACAAAAAAAAAAAAAAAAAAAAAACATAACGAACCGGGGGGTGGAAAATACGACACATACCAACGTAAAAAAAAAAAAAACCCAGCGGACACTCGTCAAAAATTCAAAAAAAAAGAATAAAACCGTCAACATTGTACCTCATTTACAAACCGGGGGGTGAAACAACACGACACAAAAAAAGTCACAAAACAGCATGGCAATCATAAAGAAATTCAAAAATTAAGTCACCAACATTGTACTTCGATGAAGCTCACGGTAAGTGGGATGGAACCCTCACACAAAATAATTCTTTCGACATCTCACGTTACAAAAAACAACAACAAATCTCGATCGAACAAATGATATACGTTTTGACGAAATCCCCCTTCTTTACACAGCCCTCGAAACACCACCAACATACCGAACCGATCCCAAAGGGAAAAAGCGGCGTCCTCCAGCACCACCAGCATACACGCCACCAGCAACAACCAACAGAACAATCCGCAATCCAGGAGAACCAGAACAAGACACCACGTCTCCCACAGCAAAACCATGTTGTCCTCTCCCAAAACCTTCATCTTGCCTCTTGAAAAACACACTCCTTCCCAAAAGGCACTCGTCGTAATCATCCTCCGTCATAGACTTCTTAAACCTGACAAATAAAAAAGTATGAAAACATCTGACAAAAATAGAGGGGGGACAACACTCACAACACAAAAGGATCAGCATCAGGACCAGTCCCACCACGCACATAAGCACGCTCGGTATTAACACATCGCTTCGGTCCAAACGGACCACAATGATAATGTGTCATCAAGGGCGAAGCCGGCGGAACTACACCGCCAACATCTGTCCACATTGGACTACGACCAGTACAAGTTCGCACCGACCAACGACGATTTTCAGATACCCACCCCAAACTAAAGACAACGCCCAAAGCGGTTAGACGTGCACTCAATAATGCACCACGTCCAAACACATGCCCAAAATTCTCCAAATTACCCTTCGCGAATCGAGACAAACCATCTATCGGAGTAGGCACACTAACCCAACCAACACAATTCGCCGAAGCATTCTGTCGAACACCGATCCGGCCACATAAAGCATTGTAATAAGCCTTTGCGAATAAGCCAGCCCCATGCAAACGATCATCATCAGACACAGAACCCGAAACACTCCGCAAAGGCAATGCCGGCAATCCATCATCAGCAATAACGAACTCACAACCCATCCGAGTATCCACAACAGGAGCACAACCCCCGAGCACACAAACCACACAGCCAAACGCTTTCGAAAGCTCCGCAAAATATTCACCAACAGCAGAAAACCAGGATGTAAAACTATCAAATCCTCCACTATGGCGGTACGAAACCAAAGCCTTCAGGTCATTTGTTCCCAAATGTAACACAAGGTGAGTAAAACGGAAGTTTGGCTGCAACTTCAAGTTTGTCTCCACCTCCTTGCGCAAAGCATCACCAGGAATAATATCCCTGGAACAAACAGCATCCCAGCCACTTATTGAATACTAAAAATAAAAGAAAAACGGAAAATATACATAAATATAATCAGTCTTACTATAAAAAATAATAATAACCTGAAATGCTTGCATCGGAACACCTTTTAACAGATGTTCAAAGTCCGGAATAGGGTGCCTCATTTCATGGGCACCATTCACACGACGAAAAAACGCCTGCTGACGTTTCACCAATCGAGAAATATTCAATAAGGAATCCCCCAGTATTAAAACTCTGGCCATGCCAGGTTCTTCCAAAATTAAATCATCATTATCTCGAAGAAACCCAGGAACAGTAAATTCGAAGTCCTCTACAATGCACCCAGGAATAGGCAGATCGATCTTCCGTGAACCCAATGCGTTAACAACACGACGAGTAATACCCATTCGTGCGGCCACAGAAACAATATAAGATCGCAAATTCTTTGGCACAAAAGCACCGACTTTGAAAAGCGACACCAGCTCATCTGTAATCAATCAAAAAAAAAAAAAAAAAACAACGACTTAGCAAAAAGCAATACATACACATATATATATACATAAATATTGGAGTTACACAAACCTTCAGTCAAATCATTTGATGGTTCCACAGGGGCAGGCGCAGCCTCCGCATTCTCCACTCGGCACACTTTTGAGGGAGAACAGTAATTCTCAGGAATATCGTCTCCACAACTCACATCAACTTGCGGCTCCGTTGATGAGCGTTTAGCACACAACGTCTTCACCGTCTCAGCAGAACTCGCACACGAAGATGTCACAATCTGGCTTACCCACAGCTCACGCAAGTCCGCCACAGGACCAAAATGGATGAACGACCCATCCATCACGACAGTTCGAATTTTATCTATCAAAATCATTACAAATTTTTAAGACACAGCATTCAAAAAAAAAGAAGAAAGAGAGGAGAAAACAAAAAAAAAGGAAGAACTAACCAGTATCCAACACACTGCACCGATCCCCGGTTGCAATATATTGATGATCCTTTCGTCTCATAATCTCCGAAAAAGCAACACGATCCGTAGCAAGCTCCCCAACAAACGCAGCCTGCAGAGCCGCATGAGATTTTGCCAAAATTTCTTCAGCATGTTGCACAGAGGCCCCAATAGAACATGCACAACTGACGAAAGCCCTCTCTTCTTGCTCTAAACGTTCAATCTCGCCCCGCAAAAAGGCATTTTCCTTCTCCTTCTTCTCAGCACGACTCCTCAAACCGTTCAAGGTATCTTTGTAGAGAGAATCCATCCTTGCTACCTGCAACATCTCGTCCATTTTCTTCCATTCATTCGATGACAAGTACTGCAGCGATGAAGCAACCATAGCAGACGATTCAGGAACGTCCAGAACCACTCTAGCACCTGAGTACCCCAACCCGACCAAAGCATTGCCATGATCCACGACCTCCGGAAGTTCAGGCTCCTCCGATAACAACAAAGGCTCATCTGAACAAAATTCAAACCCATCAGTCAATGAAACACAAATTAAAAAACAACACATATAAACTTGAAAACACACCTTCCGTCATATCAAACAGCGAATGATCACTTTGAAACTCTTCACCCATCGTTCTTTTTCAAAAAAAGAGAGGAACCAACAACCTCAAAAATCCTTTTTTTTAGAAGAAACAGAATACCACCAATCCTAAAAAACAAACAAGAAGACAAAAACGGAAAAAAATAGAAGTCCTAGTCAAATCAAAAAAGAAATTGGAATCAGAGTAGCCCCCGTCTTATCGGACTACCCAAACTCCACGCAACAAACACCAAGACCACCAAAAAAAAGAGGTGCACTACGAGAGGCTCAACGGATTCTCGTCCACGACGAAACCAAGAGCTCTCAAACAAATAATCGATCAAAAAAAAAAAAAAAACACACTGAGATGCTCGACAGCACCTGTCAGATCTCAAACAAAGAATCAAAAAAGAATCACAAATCCATACGAGAATCTTGATAGCCCCCGTCTTACCGGACTATCAAAACTCCAACCAATCGAAACTCAATAAAACTTTTTTCTTCTCTCACAAAAAATAATAATAACAATAATAATCTTCATGTTGTAGGCATCCGTGCCGCAACTCAACCGGAACTAAAATGACTGAGTCAAAATCCGAACAGAACACGAAACACGACACCATCTTCAAGCAAGAAAACAATCAAAACTTCCACCAGAACTCGCAATCACAAGCAACGACATCTACCTCATATCATAAAAAACAAAAATCGACATTTTTTCTTTTTTCCCGTATTTTTCCAGGTCGCGAAAGATTACTAAATCGCTCCAAAAAATTCTTGCAAATTTTTTGGAGCTGGGGGGATTTTGTCCTGGAAAAATATCTAAAAAACAAAAAATTAAAAATAAAGAATAAAAAAATCGCCGAAGGAAGAAGGAGCACTAGAGAAAAATTCAAGAAGCAACCGTCGCAAACCGGATGGCGCCAAGCAAGATAGTGTGAAAAATTTGTCAGATTTTGTTGGTTTTAATTCTTTTTTCTACATTTTATATAATGGGTTTTAAAAATTCGTTTTTTTTAGCTGGCCCAACAAGCACAGCTTTACACGGGTAATTTTTTTTTTACATCTTAGATGATGGTTAAAAAAGCGAAGATATTTCAATTTTTTAGCTGCCGTGACACATTTTTTTTTGCACCCTGTTACGTGAGTGGAGAAGTCTGGCTGTGTAACTAAAAAGTTTTCACTTATCATCATGCAGTAAATAAAAATTTATTTTTCAATCTGAAAAAATCCCAAGACCTTTCAACATTACGGGTTATGTCACAAATTTTTTTACGATCATATCAACTCTAGAATTATCAGAGCACGCGTTCGACTGGGACAACCCTCGTAAATCAAGTGCAGTATATCATTCAAATGTTATACTGCATATCATTCAAATGTTACAGGTTATGCTGAAAGTCCAGAAGGCCAGAAACCGTCAGAAATGGCCAGAAGACGCAGTGCGAGATCAGCAGTTGCGAAATCGGTCGAACCTCCCCCCATTCGGGAACGAAAGGTTGAAGGTAATGATCGTGTGAGATCTTCCAAGCGAAATCAAGCCTCTGACTTTAAGCAGAAGCAGAATCTCGAGAAATCTTCTCTGAAAACGTCGAAATCCGGGGAAAGTGTCGAAGCGCCGGTCAGAGTGATGAAGAAAAAAATCTTGGTGAAAAGAACGAAGCGGACTCGTAAGCAGCCTTTGTGTCCTTATCAAGGAGATTTTAGATCTTGAGAAGCCAACTGTTGTGCTCCACTCTTTTTTGTTTGTTTGTCGTTTTAGCCATTTTATTTTCTACATTTTATATAATGGTTGAAACGACACAGACATTTCAATTTTCTAACTGGCCTTACAAATCTTGTTTACCTTGCAGATCACCATCTGTTTTAGCAAGTGTGCGAGGAATTTTAATTATTTTTGTTTTAGCAAAACCATGTTTTATCAATTCATCATTTTCAGCATCCAGTCAAGTTACGTTTCTCATTTTCTCCGCAGGAGTTTCGACTATTAAAACGACCAAACCAGTGATTTCTAAACCGAGGGAGTCGAAGGATAATCAAAATGTTACCCCTAAAATGCGTGAAAAAGCTCCAACTAAATCGGGAGGTCGTGCTAAAAAAACCAGAAAAATCGTGGAAGAAGAAGCGACTGCACGGGAAAGCACCCCTGAGATCGTGCCCTCATCTGGAATCTCGAATCCGTTCACTACATTGAAAAACTATGCGAGAAATCTGTTCGGCGGCGGTGATGATGATTCTTCGGATATTGAAGACCAGAAACCGCCTTTGAGCGATATTCTTATTGAAGAAGTGACGGAATCCTCAGAAGAGGCGTCTAGAGAATATAATTGCGAAGCTATCGTTGAAGTGAGTGGATATTGTTAGTTCTTTCCTATTTTCGCTGATTGAACGACCTGGAAATGACGGGGATTTGTGGAAAGTTCGCGATTGCATTTTTCCTGCGACCGTTATTATTTTGAGCTCAATGCGAATATCGTATTGTTCCTTTGTTCCTCGAAACAATATGAACTCGAAAGAAGGGAAGAGGAAAATATTTTTGATGCATCAATGAAGTTTAGAATGGTCAGCGTTTATTTTTGTATGATTTGGGCATATGGAGAATGCATGCGTTGAGTTTAAACGAACTGTGTCCAGTCACGCGTAAAAAGAATCTGAGGAAAATTGACATGACCCCATGACAAATTCTAGTTTCAAATGATATTTTCATGGAAATATTTTCACATCGAGACATGTTTGGTTTCAAATTCTGAATTTTTACCTTGTAACAGTGCGATGATTCTTCAAGTGATGGCAGTGGAAGAATGGACGTGAAGATATTTCCTGTTGAAATTTCGGACGTGGAAGAAGAAGGCGAAGAAGAGCAGAAAAGTTGAGCTGGAAAGAACAACTTCTAAGCGGTGTTGGTATTGGGAAATTATTCTAGAAAAGGTGGACATGTTATTTTGTGTTCCTATTGGTTGTGGAATTTTTTCCGTCTTTCCATATTTCTCTATTTAGTTGTAGATTTCTTCCTTTGGCTTTCAACCGGTAATTTTGTTGTCCCTTCATATTGCCCGTTTTTGGATAGTAAAAGAAGAAGAGCATGGAATCTCCCACATTTAATTTATGATGTAAGCACGGTATATTTTGTGTATCGATTTTGTTATTCAGGTGACAACTGGTAACGAACGATATGTCAAGTGATTTATCTCGGAACTTTCCTGTGATGCGAAAAGGTTGTTGATTTTAGAAGTTCAAAATTTGAAATCTACCTTGACAAAACTTGGCATTGGTTATTATTGTGGTTGATTTCGTTGCATAACGGAACTTCAGGCTGTTGATTGAGCGGGTGGTTCTTTTTACATGTCATAAATGTGATACTCTCAGAGATCCCGTTATTGCGACGGAATGGATGCTCAGTAGAAAGACTTTTAATATTGTAATTTTTCATGTTCTTTCAATGTGTTCTTGTGCCAACCGGCGGCAACGGATTTTTGGTGATAGTTACTGTATTTGCATTTTCGTGTCACGAAAAAAGAAAGGAATGTGATTCTACGAAAACGTTATGGAAGGGATGAAATAAAAGCTCAGTGGGAGAAACGACTGCAGACTCTTTTTGAATGACATACCGAAAGCTTGCTAATTATTATGTATCCAAAAACTTAATATTTTTCATTATTCTCCAGAATTGTGAGTCGGTTGTCCAGTGCTTGCGCGCTGAACAATTAATGGCAAAATTCGTTGCGGTCGTATGTCCTCGAGGATTCAGCGACGGTCGACGGAAGGAATTTCTGCCGGTTTCGACATTGTCGAGCTTTCTTGAGCTGAAAATGACTTTTCATCCGTCGATGACGAGGACGATTGCAAACCAACTGTAAGTTTCAGTTTCAAGAAACGCTAAAAATAACGACTGTAATGTATTTACTGGAGTATCGTGTGCTCTTGAGTAATACTTGTACCTCTATGGGACAGAGATGTTGATTTGGAAGAACCTTTTGAATATAAAACGTATACCTGGCTAAGATGTGCACCCTGGTTTTCTATGATCAGAAATTGTAATTTTGTCTAAATAAAGACGAAAAAAAAATTAAAATTGTGCTTTTAAAAAGTTCATGTCAATTGTTCCGTTCTTGATTTCATTTTTAAATTTGTCTATTTATGACTCCCGTATCATGAAGAAAAGTTTGATGGGTGAGGAAAAAGTTCGTACTGCGCTTAAAAATTACTCGTGCTTCACAGTTGAAATCGGACAGATGAATTTGATTCTACTTCTAAGTACAGCACAGCACTATTATTCTTATTTTCAGTATCATGAGAATCATATTTATGTGAAATTCCTATACTGAAAAATTAAAAATCTCTGAGCCTTCGCATGAAATTGATTTCTCACTAAATTGTGTACGACATAGAAGAGGGAAACAGGTCGCCATGTATTTTACTGAAAAATATTTGTCAATTTTGATTGTAATTTTCAAATTGTGTTCAGAAGTGGAAAATGGGAATTAATCAATGATGTACAGAATGATATCATTTTAGAAATAAAATATGCAGATCAGCTTAAATATTCAACTGGGCTCTCTGATTTTTTCTTGTTCAACTCAAATTGTTTTTTTTGTAAATTTCTATGTTTAAAATAACAGAATTGCTCCACTCCTCATTTTTATTTTGCAAGTCCAAACGGAATAGATGGAATAAAATAGAATACATGCATCATTTCAAAGTGTTTGTAGTTTCAATTTTTCACAGATCCGTTCAAACTATGCTTCACAGAGTTGAGATTCGTTTAGTTGATACAAACTATTCTCCCGCATTAGACGTTTTTCAGTTGATTTTGTAGGACGACGGCAGTAATCAAAAATATGAAGCAACCAGCAGATGAAAGTCTATTGACCACCTTTTAATTGAACCTAAAAAATGTATACCTACTGCAATCAATCAAAAATTCTTCCTCAAATTTATTTATCTGAATAAATTTTTCAATTTCGCTTGAAAACATTTTACGAACTGGAAAAAAATCACATGCATCCATTTTTAGTTCTTATCTAAGAAAAAACGTTCGCGGAGGTACAAGTTCTGGAGACAGCAAAAGCATAGCCCTGGTCGTGCAAATTCAAACAAATGGTTTCCAAGGTACCACGGAATCCCTGCAAGTTGTGTTGTTCGTGTGATTTGTGCCACCTGGCAGTATCATCAACATGCAGACTTCCACGCTCAACATTTTCCCTATGTCAGAAGGCCATTCCCCAGTCGTTCGCCTTTTAGTTTGAACCGAAACTAGCCTCTGCTGCTACTACTACTACTGTATTTATAACCGTTGTGTTATATAGTTAAATACTATAAATATATAGTACTGTATTTAAATCAGTTTCATTTCCATGGGTTACCCTGTGTACCGGGTAGAAGAACAGCAACCCTTTTTGAAAATTTATTTTAGCATTCTACCGTAATTCTTATGCCTAAAATATTTGAAGTTGAAGTGTTGATGAAATTAAGCTTGACTATTCAATAGTTCTGTGCTATACTGGTTAAGGAGTGCACAAAAAAAAAGGTGGGAAGAATGGCAACCATGTACCGTATATACTGGGTGTACGCATTTTTTTCTGTTTTCTTTATTTTGGTTTGCCATCTTATTGTGATCGAATGACTCACAAAAAATTTTTTTATTTCTACAGCCCGTGTACATGTGATTTCGGATGAGACAGCGGCTGGCCTATGAAAGTGCACCTGCTGTCGTTGCGAAGGGTTCGCCTGCGATCAACACTTCTAGCAGTTTGGTCTCTAATTGCGACACTGACGAGCTTTTGGGGAATCTTTGGCAGTCGTGATGAAAATGCTTCAAGCTCATCAACTTGTCTGCCTTGTCATGGCATTACCCAGGAGAGCTCGGTGAACACCTCTATGCGTCTCAAAGGGTTTCAGAAATCAGATCCCCTGGAAACTGAGCCTAGTTTTTCCTGCTACTCCTCCAAGAGTAGTCATCCTCGCAAAAACCAGGTGAAATGAGGGGAAATTTGTTTTGCTTTTCTTGAATATACGTGAGGATGGGTTTACTGAAGTGATGACTTGCGTGTGGAAAGGGAGATGGAAACTTGTGTGCGTTTTCTGGATCAAGACTTCTGATCTGCTTATTATAATTCATGGAAATGATAGTGGCATCTTAAAGGAAACGATTTTTTCTCTTCTTAGTTTCAAAAATGTACATCAATGAATTACAGTATTTTATACTGTAAGCAAGGTGATACCCGAGCTAGAGACACACGCCCTTCCTCCTGACGTTTTTCCTAAACTTCTTTGTTCGTTTCTAGGGAAAATTGCCTACCATATATGTCATTACCCCAACGTACGAGCGACCAGCACAATTGGCAGATCTAACCCGGATGGCGCAAACGCTGGCTCACGTGGCTGAGCTCTTTTGGGTGCTTGTGCAGGATAGTCGTGAAAGGGAACCCCTCGTCCACGACTTCCTGCGTTACACGAACATCAATTACACCTACATAACTGGTTCGTAACACAATTAATTCTGTATGTGTTTTATTACCTATACGTAACTGATTCTGGACATAATTACTGTACTTCTGGATTTATTCTGTTCATTTACGTAACTGATTCGTGACATAATAAATTTACCTTCTGAATATATTTTATATATTTTTTACACCTACACGACTGAATCGTGTCATGATCACTTCTTTATATGTGTTTTACTCCTGCATGACTGGTTCGTGACATAACTAGTTCGACATAGTTACCCTCCTATACATTTTTTTTGCCCGTGCATAACTGTACGAGACTTACGATTTTGCTTTGAGAACCGTTAGCCACAGCTTGTTATCCAATTTCTTGAGAAATTTCAAGAATTGGTGAGTCTTAAATAAATTCTTACTATTACGTCTAACAGCAAGTTTATTACCGACCTCAAAACTTGAGACAACAACTCTTATCCTGGGTTTTTATTAATGTCTTCCGCGTGCTTTGCGGGCCAAAGGTTTTTTAGATAGTTTAATTAAAGCATACACCAGGATCTCACGTAGAGAGGCAATATATGTATTTCAGTGCAGCACACACAACAGTCTGTTGCCAAAGCCTGGGCACAAATGCTGATGAATAAAGTGTTGCATGGAAGTTTAAAGAGGGCCGCAATGGTCAGCCAGCAGGTTACTCAACTCGCAGGCTGACTGGCAAAAGAAATATATACACACACAGGAGGACAGCAATGCCCTTCATTGCTGGCCTCAAAACTCATGATGATGCAAGGTTCGGTGTGAGCCCTTTTTGGGAAGGGAAAAGAAAAGAGAAAACCCACAAGAAATCTTGGGAGCCTGCACACGCAGCGCTACCCGTAAAAATACCTTATGATCACAAGCTGTAAATTACAACCAGCTTGTATTTGTTTAGGGCAAGAATAAACAATTGTTGGATTTTTTTCAGTGGGCTTCCGCCCATTATGATAGGCATTTATGTTGAACAACGGGGGTCCCATCATAAAAAATTAATGCATTTTCTATCAACCAAAATTGCGACGCCCAAAAATTATGAATTTTCTGGGAGTTTTACTAGGACAGGATATTATTGTCATACCAAACGTAGATTGATAATACTGTACAGCATATTCGAGTTCCTTTATCGAGCAAGAAGTCAATAAGATTCAAAATGCAAAGATTTTTCTTGTCAAATTCCATGACGATGAACTGGGGTAAAAAATAAATGTAAACATTCTTATCAGCTGGCGGTCGTTCAGTGGGGTAACATTCATGATTTTGAGTGTTTTTCTTATTATTAAAAGTCTGCTTTAAAACCTCATGGCAAATTATTTTCAAGTAATGGCGAGAATAGTACGCTCATGCAGTCTTTGTGATTTTCCGTTGACGTTCTCTGTTCTCCTTGCAGTCGACGAAAGTATCCGGCCCAAGAGGATAGAGAGTCCGACAAAGAAAATATTGGAACCGCGAGGAGTGGCTTGTCGGATGACCGGGTTGGCCTGGGTTAGGAAATACGTCAGATCAGGTGTCGTCTACTTTGCTGACGATGACAATTCATACGACATTCGACTTTTCCACGAGGTTAGCGAATGGATCGAACTATTATCGTTTGTCTGAGAAAAAAAATTTTCAAGAAAGACGGCGACGAGCTTCACAGTTCAAATGCCGTTTGTAGAATGAGCGAGTTTTTCGTGTGAACTCGACGAGCGTACAATACAAAACTGAAACTTGAATTGTCAAGAAAGAAAACACCGCTGTGGAGAAAATGCCTGTGAGAAAAGTTACATCGATGGAAGTCAATGTCACATGGAGAATACAGCATTGGAGAAAATTAGATGGGAAAATGTTCCGGGAAGAATTTCTGTTGAAGATGAAAAAACCGAAATAATAACTTGAAAATAAAGTGAGGATGACAGGGAAGTGCAGTACTATGTGTTCAATTTAAAATACATTTATTTGAATTTACAGTATTTCAAGTAGGATCAGCTGGGAGGAGGAAAAGTATTAATGTTCGAGCTAGGATTGCTTCGATATTTCAAGAGTCATGTCAAAGCATTACGTATTTGCTCTGGAACATTCTGGATTTCATTTTCGTTCAAAGATGCGATTGACGAAACGGGTTTCAATGTGGCCCGTGGGGCTTGTCACCGCCTACGGCATTTCTTCGCCGATTGTGGACCTGGAAACGGGCCGCGTGACGGGATTCTACGACGGTTGGATCGCCAAGAGAATGTTTCCTGTCGACATGGCGGGTTTTGCCGTGACTGTGTCGCTACTTCTTCAGGTAATTTTCATGAATTTTCTCTTATATACTGTAACCAGAATTTTGAGTACAGTACAGTAATATCGTAAATTCACGCAAGAGGAAACATCTTGCGTAGCAAGAGAATGGTGAACTGACATTTTTTCTATGCCTATCGTTAAAATTCTTGGGGGGCTTCTATCTAGATTCTAGAATGATATCTATCTAAGAATGTTTGAGTTGGATATTCGAGCTTGTGCGCCTTTTCTTGGGGGAGCCCTATACAGTTTTTTGGTCTCCTGTACTGTATATTCATTGTGGTTCAGATGATTCACACATGAGAAGTTTGTTATTTAGATTTAGAGGTAGATGTAGAGCCCACTTTCTAAACTAAGGCTGATGAAATGTTAAAATAGCAAGAAGGAACGATTCACTAGAGAATAAAATTTGCCGTTTCTTGATAATTTATATAGGGAGTGATATTTGCTTGGGGCCAGCCTGATCTCGAAATCTTAGAAATTACAGACAAGATGTTTTCTTGAAGAAAAATAAATGAATACAAATATGGTTTGAAATCACGTTCTGTTGATTTTCTACCTAAATTTCCATTTCAGAAACCTCAAGCAATGATGCCATTTAGGCCGGGCTTCGAAGAAGATGGTTTCTTGAAAAGTTTAGGCGTACAAATTGGTGACATCGAGCCAAAAGCAAGCAATTGTACCAAGGTTTGTGTTGCCACATTTTACTCTAATCCATTCAAAATAATATACTAATGCCATCTCGCTTTGTATAATTTCTGAAATCAAGCTGGCGTCTGATTAAAGAAAAAACCTCCAAATTAAAAATCTACCCCTGAAATAGCTCGTCTTTCTTTCATCCCAAATTAATTCAAGGTTAAAGTAATGCAACAATAACAATGGCTAAACGATAAGGTTGGAAAACCTTGAAAAATTTGATTTAAAAAGCATCCCACATGAAGGACTGACTTTTGGTCCTCGAATGATATTTCGAGTTAGATCTTTTTTATTTTTACAATTTTTTTTTTCATTTTATGCTCGCCATGGACCTTGACTTTTTATTGTGGGATTATGAGCTACAATACTAATCTGTCAACAATGCTCTGCAGTTTCTATACATGATTGGATCTAATTATAGCAAGGTTGATGAAGATTCATAACCAAACATTCTCTCTCATGTGCAGGTTCTTGTGTGGCACACGAAGACTCTTACAGAACCGATTGATCCTCCGACCGTGTCCACGGACCTCATCAAGAACACAAACTTGATGTTTTTGTTGAGAGGAATTAATTGACGGAGGTGTTGATCACGTGACCCTCATCCGGAGCTCATTTCAAGGTCTTGGTTTTCTGAAAATCCATTTTCTTGAAAATGCAATTGAGTAATTCAAATGCTGCGGTACATTGGAATGAAGAGGTAGAAAACTGCGGGGAATTTCCATTTCAGTGTTTCCATCATAAAATGTCGTGCTGCCCATATCTGTTCTAAAATGCATAGTGTTCAATCGCGAATTATCAAAAGTTTAAGTTCCCACCTACTTGCGTTAGATGTATGCCTCTATAGATCATAAAATCTGTTTGACTTTTCATGGACTTTAGAAAATGCCCGTTATCATTTGTCTAAAGTTATCTGAACTTTTTTAAATTATAGGTGTATCAAAATACTGTAAGCCAAAATCTGGATTTCTTCTATTATCACTGCAAATGACAGTTGAAATCTGGTTTCATGTGCAGCAGCCACGAATAAATCTAATTTTTCCTTTCAGTGCGCTTTGTTTTCTGCGAATTAGTGAAGAAATGACAATTTCCTAATGCATAGTTCTGGCGCATGTATGCCACTTGAACGTACCCAGGTCAAATACCACCATTCCAGGCCTCCTCAGAGACTCTGCAAAGGCTGTGTCACCCATGTGCCACGCTAGAGTCTTTCACTCAAACTCCCTTAAAAAAATTGGAAGAGCATCATATTCCTCTCAAGGATTTCTGGTGAAAAATGAAGCAAAATCACCAGTCTTGGCAACTGAACTTTTGAAAATGCTGAGATTCTTTCTTGAACACAATTGAAATTGACATCATGAAACCAATGCCAAAATGGATTGCAAGAAGCACACTTTGCAATATTTGCATTTCAAGGGAGATAACAATCTGGTTCAAAAAGGAGCAGTCTTGAGCAGTGCTTCGAGGATACGCTCCCATCATTCAAACATTTGCAGGAGTGACGTGATAATGTCTCAAAAATACCCGCATTTTCTCAAGTACCAAACGCAATTTTTTCCCTCAAATTCAACATGAAAGAAGGGGGTGCGTGTCACATACTGGTATCGACTTTTGAAAAAGTTTTCCAATATTTGGTGTGAATTACGCTTGCTCCTAGGAGGAAATGCTGGACAAAGTTCAACAGAAAAACGTATACAGTAGTGATGAAAACAATTGAAAAATAGTCAAATTAAGGTCTTAATACAAATTTGGGTATTCTTATCTTTGAAATATTGTGGTTTAAGAATCACAAAAATGGGATGCGCGTCTTACTCCAAGATAGGATTTTTCCAATACAGTATACCCAACTGGAAAAACCTGGTGCGTGTGAGGGCGCATGGTACTCAAGTAAATACAGTTCTCATTTAGTTTGATGCTAAAACCATTGAATGTTTTCTCATTTGAAAATGTGCATATTTAGTTTCAAAATGCACATGTAAGTCCTAATGAAAATGTAAAAAAAAAATCACCAATTAGAGATTCCCTGGTCTCTGAAAGTTTAAAACCACATCCTTCCTTTCATATCTCCTGGCAAAGACACTCTGGAAGTCTCAAATGCACAAAAGTCTTCAACTCAAAGTTCTTAACACACATAAAGCTCAACTTAATATACTTAGCTTCACTCCTGCAATGGTTTGTACCCCTCATTCCCCGTCACTTCACTCTAAAAAAAAAAACTCAAAACTTGGTAGATCTGTACAAGTCATCCAATTTTTCGTCATTTCCTCGGGGCCCAAAGGTCTGGGGGAATGACTGTGTGGTAACATGACTACCAGATGCATCAGGGTCATGAATGACCACTACTGCAGCACCCAATGATGGATATGGTGGTGGTGGTTCAGTCTCCTCAAGTAGATTGGATGCCTCTGGCAGCCCTACCCTGAACTGAACCACATTCCGCTTGCGATACAAGGGACAGCAGTGACAATGCAAACAAGTCAACAGCGCAAGACAAACACCGGCAGACAACATGGCAAATAGGGTCCCCAGGATCCACGGTAGTTCAGCAAGGTCCTGTTGTATGACTACATCATCTCTCCAGCAGCAATATTTCCTGGTGTCTGTTCCACAGCAAAAGGCTGGTCCATGTCGACGTTCTGGACAGTGGAAGCCATTGTACCACACACCATTAATGTCTAGATAGCCAGTGCAATACTCAAAGCCAAGGAAGGAATGTCCAGCAATTGGCAATGACACTGACATCTTTGAACCTCAAGCCTGCAGAAAAATTCCAATTGAGTTCATTGAAGGACCAGGTTTAAAGTTTCAAGGGATTGAATTTGACCGTTTCAATCCAGTGGAGTACAGTGCAAAGTGCTATAGTAAAAAATGAAAATTTACCAACCCAATAAGTTCCTTCTTTTTATCAAACTTGTGGAAATGCGGTCAAGATAAATTGGCAGGAAATGAAAATCAAACAAAATTTGGAACAAGGAAACTGTATGGCAATATTCCTCATTAATTTTCAACCCATGATGAGGAAAGAAATGTCAAATGTTGAACTACAGTACTATATACAAGTGGACTCTCTTCACAATGAAATTCAAAGGAGCAGAAAAAAACATTCATTTTTTAGAGAGAATCCCTAGTAAAAAGCTCCGACACTATGGGGATAGAACCTGATGGGACAAAAAAAAATTTGTTGTACAGTACCAAGTAAACCGCAATTGTAGAAAAGGTCCAGTTTTATAATTGATTCACGCTTGCAAGAGCTGATTCTTCTGGTAGCTGAATGATACTGAAGTAACTCTGAAAAAGCAGTAGGTAACACACCACAGCATGCGAAGTAATTCACCAGACTCTTGCAGATCATTCACCATCACTGTCAAAACACGCAGATCTTAAAGATATGGGAGCATTGGGATCTGAAAGAGATATGAAACAATTGACATGCATATTAGCACATGGTCTGTCACTTCACATTAACATTTCCAGGCTTGTTTGAAATCCAAGTAGAAAATACTACAGGAGTTCCCATTTTGGACTCCAAAAAGCGAAAAATCCCTACATAACAACACTGCCACAAAAAAAAAACATGGCTCTTCTCAATCCACCCAACAAATCACATCCACATTGTGAATGAAGACACTAAGGAAAATCTGATGGTTTTAATGTTCGGAGAGTACAAGTACTATGAAGCATATATAGCATCTGACATCAGGTCTTTCAAACAACCCTCTATCCCCATAATTTTAAAAATCCAACCCTGATCTCAGAAATTACGGTGGACGGACTTCTCGCCGGAGCTCACATGTGAGCTGCCGAATTTACGCTGCTCCCCCTTTGCCCTGCCTCACTCCCTGAACCCATCACTCTCTCTTTGAAGAAAAATCATGAGAGACTTCAGAAGGCCTGTTTGAATAGGTATAAACAGTGTAGTAGGAGAAGTACTATCAACAAATATAATTAATATTCATTTTTATAAACCTTATGGCTTTACTGAAGGTTCTCTTTTCATTACTCTGATTATAAAAGTTGAGTACATGCAATGAGAAATTGTCTGAATTAAATTTGCTACTAAAGGGTTCTTATATTGTATTTACTTGCATTCATTCTCAATGCTGCCCTACCTATGGACATTCAAAATTGTTTCTAACAATTCAAACTAGAAATTTGTATGATATAAATGCATACCTTATGAAGTTTTCCAAATATCATTTGTTTGATGTGAAATATTCATGATTTATATTGAGTTCACACCATGCATAATTTGAGTTCATAATTACTAATATTGCTTCATTGATTGATTCCCTGTTTTCCAGTGATGACTTTTTCAAAATAACAGTATTGGTACAGTACAGTATTTATGAAATGGAATAAATCCTGTATATGTACCACATCCTATATACAAGTGTTCATCTAGAGACCAGCTTGATGTTCTTCTTCAGTCAGCATACTAGCGTCCTCTATACCAAAATGAGGAAAGCTTCCCAATTTTGATATATCTCAATCTTGCTGTCATGGTGCCAGCCATAAGTTGGAGCCAGTCTGCTCTATAATCTTGCATCTTCTTATTCCCTGTACAGTAGCAACCTCCTCAGCAAAGATTTTTCCCTGTGAATCTTGCAGAATATGCAGTATTTCAAGTTGTTTAGCAGCATGAGTGAACCTCTTCAGAAGTAGACTTCTTGCAAAATATTTTTTGGCTGATGATGTCTCTGTTTTTCCCATTCACATTGCATTCACATTCACATTTTGACATTACCCTGCTGGTTGACCCCATACTGAAGATGGAACCCAAGCTCATTCCATCCCAAATGGTAAGCCATTTAATCCCCTTTGTCGTTGGGTTGGTGCGCCACCCAAACTGACCAGCTTAATTCTTTTGTAATTTCTTGGAATGGGTGGAAGCTTTACATGAGATTTGGCGCAATACAAAATTTTGAAACTCTTCAATTTTTAAAAATTGCTTTCCCTCTCTAACAGCCAAACAAAATGATACCAAATAACATATGTTTTGTAAATTTATAGGAAGCAGAATAAAAAAAATCCCTGACCACCCAGGTTCTGTTTTTGTGATTTCTTGAAACAGGTGGCAGCTTTCCATGAATTTTGGCACCATATGCATTTTTTTAACTCTTTGAACATTGAAAATTGCTTTCTTTCTCAAAAAAACAAAGAAAATGATACCAAATAACCAATCAAGGTTTTAAAAAATTAATGTGAGACACAAAAGAAATATGAACACATTGCTGCTGGCTTCAACAAAAAATATATATAGGGCAGTAGAATGTCATTTTCAGATGCCAAATTAGTTTTTACACATTTTTGTACCAGATGAATAAATGCTATAGAGGTTGAGTGAAAAGTGACTTAAACACTGGAGAAAAATGTTGGCTCCAGCTTTAGGGCTATTGGATGCAACTTGCATTTTCCCCAGGCAGTTTCTGAAGAGGGTGCACAAACAGAACATGGAATTTTATTGTCAGATGCTAAAATGTAAGTACTTAATGATATGACTTTCACAGTTTGACCATTCCTAATTATATTTATATCCCACTCATACAGTTTAAAAAATGGTATTATGGTAAATAATACCATAATGGTAAATGGTATTCCAAAACAGACCAAACCACACAAAATGCAGTGTAAAAGTGTCAAGCACCATGATTACTGTAAAAACTGCAAAAGGATTAAGCACATAAGTAAGTGTTTACTGTGTTGAGAAGACAGGAAGCCAGCCCACCTACACAGCAAAAATCACCAGAACACATCCAGAGGGGAAAATTCTACTCATTTTAGTATAGAGGACACTAGCATGCTGAATTAACATGAAGTCATTTTGAACACTTGTATATGAATGGATGAATCCAACAAGGTACTGTAGCACTCAGAGTAGTAAGGTACTGTACACTACACTCAGAGAATCCCTAACTTCTGGCATTTAAGCCCTTCTACATTAACAATTATTCCCTAATTGCAAATTTCCTATTTTTTAAATGCCCAGATTTATCACATTTCATTACTACCAAGTCAACTAAGGAAACATAACACAAATTGTATATTGTTTAAACAAACTAATGCATACTATACTGGACAATAGAGAAGTCTAAAAATAATCTTCAGCATGCATTCCATTGAAAGTTTTAATAGAGCAATGAGTGCAGTGTGAGTCCTACACCATTTCTTCCCAAAACAGCCAGGCTCCACTTTCTGAAGTTGCTGAAGCATGCGCACAAGAGAGGGACTGCAGCTGCATGGGGAGTGAGGCAGGGGGAAGGGGGAGCAGCGTAAATTCGGCAGCTCATATGTGAGCTCCGGCAAGAAGTCCACTCATGGAAATTACACACATTGTGTCCATGAAGAAGAAGAAGGATCCAGACCTTCCCATTCCAGGAAGTTGCAGGGTCAATATTCACTGAATTGACCCTGCACAAGGCGCCGCCATGTTTCACTGCTACTGTTCTCTATCCCAGGAGCTCTGGCAAGTGGCAATCACTATTGTATGTACACAAAGGAGAGAGTTATGAGAATAGGGATGGGGGGTGCAGCGGCGTGGAGTTTTGCAGGTGTGAATTTCTGCGCTGGCGAGAGACTACACCACCGAATTTTTATGACTTCCTGTGATGCAAAAAGCTGAATTCATGTCTATGACCTTTTGGAGTATAGGAAGTGGTCTGGATTTGATTTCAATTCCTCGAGAACCCGCGCCTGCTGAAGAAATTTTCATTGTGGAACGAACTCATATAGTCGTTCAGCCATGAACTCATTTTAGAGAAATATCTTTTGATTCCCGCAGAGTCCCATAATTGTGTCGGAATAAAAACTCAATAGAAGAAACGAAATCAAGGATGTATTTTCGATCATCTTAGAAAAGCATTTGAATCTATGATTGTGTTCATCGTTGCTATTCATTTCCTTCAGAATTGTGTGTGGTACGACTGACGCGTTCAAAAAGAGAATGGAAGTACCGATTGAGAATCCTTTGCCTTCAGTCCTGGAGAATTCAGGGAATATCGACGGAAGTGAAGTCTGGAGTGATGATGCTGTTGATCTTCCTGGAGCTGAAGAGAACTCATTTTCATCTGTTGACGAAGAGGATGACGATTCCGAACCGAAACTGAAATATGAGCGTTTGGGGAACGATTTGCGGAAAATCTTCATGAAAGATTCCGCATCATGCATCGCCGTCAATAGCAGGGTGATTACGCGTGTTTTTCATCGAGCTTTATGTTATTTTTTTTTAATCAGAATGAAAGTCTCGCTGCCGTTGTGTAAATAATGTACCCTTGCTTGAATCGCCGAGAAGATCAGGAAAGCCGCTGCAGTTCATTTATCATTGGTTAATGTGAAGCAATCCTCAGAATATAAATTTGTCTATGCTACGCATTCGCCTTTTTTTCTTAGTTTTCATTGGTCATGTGCAATTGCTATTCCTTCGTATTTTATCTTTTAAAATAAATATTCCTTTCACAGTTTCTTGTTCTTGGAAGCCACTGGGGCATGATTCACGTGTTGGATCACCTCGGAAATGCAGCTCGAGGACATGAACTACAGGCTCATGCCGTGTCAGTTAACCACATTTCCTTGGATTCCGAAGGAGATTACTTGGCTTCCTGTAGTGATGATGGTCGAGTACGTAAAATGATCATCGCACAAAAGCGATTCCTTTTCCTCGAGTTCTCTACCAATTTTTGGCGACAAAGCCATATTTCATCATTTTCTTTATTCAAATTTTCTGCGAGGATTGCAGTCATTAGCGTTTCATGCAGAAGTTCAATGCTTCTCCATTGAAAATTTCTGATTTACATTTTTTTTTAGGTTGTTGTTCACGGGCTCTACAGTGCGGACAATACTCACAACTTGAGCTTTGATCATCCAGTGAAATCAGTTGCGCTTGATCCAAATTACTACAAATCACGGTCCGGGAGGAAATTCCTTACAGGTACGCTTGTCAATAAAGATTTCAGAAAGAGACTCCTCGTTCAATTCTTTGCGTATTCCTGAAAGTATCATTGATAATATTTCGTAGTTTCAAAATATCCGCGGCAGCTTCACATGTTGCAATGCATATGCTACGTTACGTAATACTGTACTCTATTTCGTTAATAACCTGTAACAAACGCACGAGGAAATCCGAAAAAAAATTTGGGTCTCCGATTGTTCCGCGAATCTTCGTGGGATTGAATGATACCCGAATTTAAATCACATTTTCGCAGCTGAATATGTTTTTTAATACAATACAGTACAGTATTTATAGCATGTTAATTAACGCGGGTCGAGACCACGTATGTCGCGTATATTATAGTATCCTGTTTGAACTATGTCTTATCCTGTATGCATCTTTTCTTTTCAGGTGACCACCAATTGATCTTACACGAGAAAACCTTCTTGAACCTGCAGAAACAAAGCGTGCTTCATTCCGCGGATGGGCTTGTTCGAACCATCAAATGGAATCGGGAAAATTTCGTGGCTTGGGCAACTGATGCAGTATGATCACTTCTACAGAATTTTCCTCTGGTTTTGTGTAATTAAGATCCGCAATTTTTTGTAGGGCGTTCGAGTTGCGGATTTGAATGAAAGGAAAACAATAAGCTTGATCAAGCGGGATCATGACGCAAAATACAGACCGGAGCTTCTGCGATGTCATTTATGTTGGCAAGATGGCAAAACGTTGTTGATTGGGTGGGCTGATACTGTCAAAATCTGCGTTATTCGTCGAAATAGGGAACCACCGCAGGCTTATCGCGATGCGCCGCAGCACCTCGTCGAAATTGGTGAGCTCTTGATTGTCTTGCACGTTTTTATTAAATATTATCAAATATTATGCCTAATGGAGTTTCGAAATGGAAAGAAAGCTGTCACCCGAGTGGTGTTTTGTGAAACGCGAGTCTCGAAGTGAATTTTGTTAATACTGTATCGCAGTTCATGAAATCTGTAGAACGTTGGTGCTCGTTACCTTTCAAGGGAATCCACGCTTAGCGAAAACTATGAGAGGAAAAACGAATTACCCTACTCGACAACGATTTTTCTGTATGACGATTTTATTTTTGTCTAAGGGGTCTCTACGACGAATTATCATTTTTTCCCCCTCTGAATTTCGTTGTAGAGAGTCTAACTGTACTACGGTTTTGGCTTCAATGCCCGACTTTGCTTTTCGGAATGTCATGAAGTTGTCGCGAGGATCTTTGATCTTTCAGAAATCAGAATCAATCTTTCAGCCTGAGCTGAATGAAATCAGCGTAACAAAAACGATCAACGTCGACCTGGCAGAATTGAGTTAAATGCAAGCGTCGCCTACAGTATTTACAGAGCCTTTATTGCATTCACGCGAAAATAAGCCGTACGCCTTATGAATACATACTCGAATATTATCCGTCAATTTTTCTCGGTTTGCGAGTAACGTGGTCCACTATCGATGTTTTCCGCAGTCAGCATGTTCACGACGGATTTCTTCATTTGCGGAATCGCTCCGTTGGTGGATCCTGGTGGTGGGCTGAGCAGGGGTGGGGATCTTGGATCTCATCTGGTTCTCATGGCGATGGCCAAAGAAGAAGGTGTCGTCGTGGATCCCACCGGGAAAGTGAGCCAGAATAGTACCTGCATCCCAGCCCGTGGGCAGAAGTTGATGCTGACCATCATCGAGCCCCGTGTTCACGATTACACAGAAATCGTCACTGATTTACTCAGCGTTCGAAATTACGCGGATTATAAAATCAACGATTATCATATGGGTTAGTACATTAATTCATCAACCGCCATAATTGGAGTTCATTACGAAAACATACGTAAATGAGGTATTTAATTGGAAATTACAACAGTTTTGCCAAATTTTTTGGCCCGTTGACCATCATCTGTTCGCTTATGATTTATGTGAGCGAAACTAAAATTAAGTTTCTTCCTAAAATCAGCAGCATTTTTTTTATTTTGTTGGGATGCTTTATAGACTGCTGCGACTTAAAATTCGGAAGAGCTTCAATACTATATAATACAGTATTGCGAATGTTCAAATCAGTTTTTGAGTTGTTAATTTCTAAAAAAAATTGTTAGAGATGAATTTGAAAATTAATTTTTAATCTTTTGTTGATTTTTCCAGACTGCTTAATCGACGAGGGCCTGTTTTTCATCGTTAGTCCGAAGGATGTGATTGTTGCTAAACCGAGGGATGCTGATGATCATATCGATTGGCTACTCGATCGATGGTAAGCACTGTACTGACAATATTTTTCATGGCAGATTTAAATGTAGGCAAGCATTTGGAAGAAATCGGAGCGCCAAAAATATGTGTAATCCACGAGAAAGTGGGAATAAACCCTGGAAAAGGGGGTTGGAAAGGCTTCAAGATGGGTTTAGAATTTCAACGGCGAAATTTCTTCTTAAGAAACGTTTCTAGCGTATTCTCAAGGAATTACTTATGGTCTAGTTACTAGAGGGAAACTTCGTTCCTGTCAATCTTCGCGTATTTTGTGGTAGTTTTCCGCTACTGCATTTCCACGAGTAAAAAATGGTAAGTTGAGAACATTTCGAGTCAAGATTCTTTTGGTTGACCCACCCGAAATACTTGACTCAAAATGTTATAATGCTCAACTTACCATTTTTTTACTCGGGGAAATGCATTAGCAGAAAACTGAAATGTATCAAAGAATCTTTTTCTTTATTTTATTCACAGCAAATTTGAAGAAGCCCTGAATGCCGTGGAGAATTCCGGGAAGCGTGCTTTGTCCGTGTCCATGTCGGGTGGGTCAACCA